CGAAGTATGTTACTAAATCTATGGCATCATCACACATCACACTTTTCAAATAATCCATGCCCGCTTTAACGTCTGTAGTAGGTAAAAAAGCTAATGAATCTAATTTCCTACAATATTCACTAAATGCTTTGTCATTCCTATACAAATTTTCTAAACCTAACTCTTGAATCTTACGATGAACTGATTGAGTAAGATGGTAAAAACAACCTTTTATTGTTATATGATCTCCTAAAACATTTTTAATTGCTAGAATCATGGCCCTTTCAAAATCCACATGTACAATTACTGGATCTATACACAAATTGTTTTCTTCACACTTTTTTAGTATTGTGTTTAGCATTGATTCATAGGTTGACATGCTTTTTCTTTGCAATAAACAATAAACTGCTGTAGTAGAAACATTATTTACTTGCACTCGTATAACGTAAAGTTGTTGAAATTGTTTTGGTGCAAGGGCAAAGTTCCCATCCATGTACCAGGTTGATGCACATGCTAAATTATTTAATCCTTCATCTGTTGAAAATATAATTATTCTTTCAGTGGCACCTATTCCATTGTCAGCAAGCAGTAAACGTTTGTGGAATGGTTTTCCAGTTGTACACCAATCATCTTAATAAATATAAAGTACAATATTATTATGTTATAATATTAACATTAGGAGTACAAACATGCTTTATTTGTGTGACTACAACATTTGATTTACCCACCTGCATCATTAAAGTCAGTACTATTATTATTAAACCTATTTTATTTTATATTTATAATTTATATCTTGATTTTAGACTTTAGTACTTACTTTCAATCATTAAATCATTAAGACTAACAGGATCCACAGGATTGTCTTTTGATCTTTGATTTCTTAGTGTTCTTTTAGTGGTTTCTTCAAGCGGCATCATTGACTTAGAACGTTCGTCTAACTCAGAAACACCTTGAGCATAAATCTCGACTGGATTTGCACAAGATGTCTTTGCAGCTAATTTCATTTTTGATACAGCTATCATGGCATTTACTTCGGATTTGTTCGCAAAGTGATTATGTCCTATTGTCACAGAATGGTTTGTTTTCAAGATACTAGTCTTTAGTATTGCAGGACAATTTGTACTATTTCTTTTTGAACATCTCCATGTAATATGATTTACACCAACGTACTTAACTGTATATGTGTAGCCTTCAAAAGGCATTTTGTCACCGCCTTTGTTGGATTTATAAACTTCCATTTCAAATTTTTATATTATTTAAAACACTTTAACATTTCAGTGACTGTCAACAGACTAAATGTTGTTCACTAAAATAATAGCATAAACGTATGAAAATGTCACTGTGATCTCTGCATAGGGAATTTCCAGTAATAAAAATTTATTTTACTCTATATTATTATACCACAAGTTATATTGTATTTAATATAATAATATAGAGATGAAGATTTGTATTTTTAAGGAGTTCAATATAGGCAATTTTCTGTGTGTATACCGTTTACTTGATGGCGTATAAATAATATTATGTAAATTTGTAATGAAGGTAATTTCTCCTTTTATTAAATTTAAATTGTGTATAATATCCAAAAAATATATTATAATGTACATATTAATTATAAAATTACAACAAAATAACTAAAATGATTATTCTCGGTTTTAAAATGTAGTTTTCAAAAATTGTAAATTGTCCTTTTTTTCTTTGTTCTTTTTTTCTGTTGGTCTTTTTTTCCTTGGTCTTTTTTTCTTGGTCTTTTTTTCCTTGGTCTTTTTTTCCGATTACCCCTTTCTCCACTTATCTGCCGTTTTCTTTGCACCAATCATGGAATTTAAATTTGAAGTTATTTGTTCCCAAAGTTGTTGCGCATTTTTGTGGGTAAATTGTGAGTTGAATTTACCTTTTTTTAGTTGTACATTGTTCTCTAAGAATTCAACAAGAGCTTCCTTCTGTGCATAAGTCACAGACTTTCCTTTTGTTTTTCTATCAGCCATAATGCAAATCACTTAATCGCTTATGATCCAATACTAGTTTAAAACTATAAGTATAATGTAGGTTTAAACTGTAGTCTGTAAGACTACCTACCTATAAGATTTTTTAATTTTTATTATAATATGAACTTTACTATCATAAAATAAGATAACAATTTCAAATTTCATGGAAAAAAAAATTACTTTTTTCGATGATCGGAAACACTGTCGAATAAAATTTATTCGATTCATCAAGATTCGATAAATGTTTGAGAATACGATTGATCGAAAATTTGAAATCGAATCAATTATTTCGATCGAAAGTTGACAATCGAATAAATATTTTCGACAACAAATTTCGATTGATTTGAGAATAGGCCCCCAGGGCCCGAGAAGGTTACATCAAAGACCGAAGAAGACGCCCCTCTCTGAAAGGTGGGTGACTTCCGGGTCCAGAGTCCAAGGCTAGCAGCAAAGGCTTCAAGAGCTTCTCCTTTACTATCATCTACACTAGAGCCCCATTACATGGACTTAGCGTTAAAGTCACGAGCAAACAGGAGAGTTTCATCCTCTCATTCCCCCTGTCGTATAGCTTGGTCAAGACCATCCAGGAATCCCATAAAGGCATCCAGGCGGTCCGCAGCATAGTCGGCGTTGGGGGTCCAGTAGCAGCTGATTACTCTAACATTCCCGAATCGGAGCTATGCAAAGCCCGAGCCAGAACCGGACTCCTCCGCCACGGTGCCGGCAATGATAGTCAGTACTATTGAGCACCTCCCGTCTGGAACTGGATGCCCAGCTGGGGTGGTTGCATGGGGATCTGTTGTGCTCGCTGAGAATGAGGAGACCAATGTCCACGATCAACACGGTTCGAGAAAGTAGCTGTTGGGCAGCCCAGTCGATGTGGAGGTTGATTTGCAAGCAGCGCATCAATTCATCCTGCGCGCTGCATCTCCGCAGGCGTTTTCATTGGCGTTTTCTCGGTCTCCAGGTTCTCTAACGAAAATTTATCACAGAGGTCATAATATTCTACAAGTATTTCTACACTATATTTAACTTTTCATTTTTCAAATCCTGGTGGTCCAACGAAAAAATTTCACAGAGGTCATAATATTCTACAAGTAAATCTACATTAGACTCGATTTTTCATTTTTCAATAAACTTTTTATTCAAAATTTTGGATCTTCAAAATCGTTAGAAGTACAAAAGATTAAAAATCTTTAAAAACGGTTTTTAAAAAAATCAAATGTATACAAATTATGTAGCTGGGTATGGAGAAATTTAAGGTCTAACAACTTTCGGCTTATCTCTAAGGGTTTTCCTGCAAAACCTTTCGTAAATAGAATTTACATTTTTCGAAATTTTCAATTTTCACCGCGTTTTCTCGGTCTCCAGGTTCTCCAACGAAAATTCATCGCAGAGGTCATAATATTCTACAAGTAATTCTACATTAGAATCAATTTTTCATTTTTCAATAAACTTTTTATTTAAAATTTTGAGTTTTCAAAATTGTTAGAAGTACAAAAGATTAAAATCTTTAAAAACGGGTTTTCAAAAAATCAAATGTATACAAATTATGTAGCAGGGTATGGAGAATAATTTTAATTTCAACAACCTTCGGCCTATCTCTAAGGGTTTTCCTGAAAAACCGTTTATAAATGAGAATTTACAATTTTCATTGGCGTTTTCTCGGTCCCCAGCTTGTAAAACGAAAATTTATCACAGAGGTTATATTTGTAATTCTACATTAGAATCAATTTTTCATTTTTCAATAAACTTTTTATTCAAAATTTTGGATTTTCAAAATTGTTCGATGTAAGTACAAAAGATTAAAAATCTTTAAAAACGATATTTCAAAACATCAAATGAATACTAATTATCCCAGATAGCAAAATTACAACATTATAACATTATTATTTAATTACATTTGTAATGACTAATATTTTTTTATCATTACATTTTGAGTATAGTGCCACTAAAATATTGTTTTAATAATATTTTAGTATTATTTTTTGACCTGGGTTAAATTATTTTTATAACGTCCCATATATATAATAATATTATAAAAATACAAACATAATATTTTTTTAATAATTTAAAAACATTATTCAAATATTATTAATACATTATTTTATACCTAAAAAACTGGGTTTAAAATGATTTTGTAACTACTATTCCAATTTTCAAATCAGTTGTAGGCAGGGGCGGATAGGCCCCCCGGAATACCAGACAAATCCCGGTAGGCCCTCCTCTACGTAAGCTTTTTTTTTATACACTATGATAATTACAGAGTTTGATATAGTCGCTATACTTAATACTTATAAATATACACAGCCACACAGGGTCGAACTAATATAATATATTATGTAACTTACTAACCTATTATATCTAATAAATAATAATTTTATAGATAATGAAAATTGCACATTTTATCATACATTACCCAGTAACATTAATTTAGCCTATCCGCCCCGGGTTGTAGGACAAACTTACCATAGTGGAATTTAATCCTTGTTTTTAATCTTTTTAATGAACTTTCATCAATACTAATTTATGATATTCAATTAATATAATATAATGCTAGGGTACATCCTCAGAATTTCTATGGACTTCAAGCTGTCTAGTTCCTTGAAAGTTCTTTTTTGCTCATTTGTTCGTTCTATACAAGAGTATGGAGCTGTAATTTGGTTCCCAGCAACCATGAGTGACAGCTACCAACTAGAACGAGTTCAACGCAAGTTTCTGAAGTGTGCATCTTACAGGTTATCAATTGATTGTCCGCCTCATGACTATAATCCAGTACTTTGCCACCTAGGCTTGACCACGCTGGCTGATAGAAGAGTTCAAACAAACCTATCATTTTTAGCAAAACTGATTAATGGTTAAATTGACTCACCTGTTCTTTTAAACAAACTTAATTTTAGAATCCCAGTTTTTAATTCTCGTAGTGTTTTCCCATTCCATATTCCCTTTTGTTCTGTGAATTATTTGTGAAACTGTCCTATGTCACGCATGATACGACTAGCGAACGAGAATCCATCGTTTCTATTGGGGGACTAAACCATTCCTAAGGTAATGTTTTACACTGTTAATTTAATTTCTTATATTTTTACTGTACATACTTTAGTTTTAAGATTAATTTCAACATTTGTATTGGGCTTGTCCGGTTTCATAAATAAATAAATAAATAAATAAATTATATATTCATATTATATTATATAGTACCTGTGCTTGTATTAGTTACTGTTATAAGTTATATAATGATGATGTGTACTAGCAGTTTATATCACTTTAAAAACAATTTATTCTCTCTGACATTATTATTATGTAAATATTTAAGAAAATAAAAATAACAGTTACCTATAGAAAAATACAAAATAATAAGTAGATATAGATGGACAAACAATAAATAATATAATAAAAAAAACTATTTGAAATATGATAATACTTGTCTTTATTAAATATATAGCAACTATAAAAATTCAATGTACATAAGATTGTAAGTGAGCACACTACAATATTTTTTTCTTTCTGAATTCTGCACCGGCTAAGTAAATTTTCATTGGTCTCTCAATTTCAGAATTTGTTGCATTTTCGAAAGCTTTAATTTTTCTTACAGCTTCTATCATAGAAAACAATAGATAATCTTATTTTATTAATGAAATAACAAATAGTGATAATTTAAAAGGATCATTGACAAACAATTAATGGTTCTATGCAAAAAATTACTTATTCAAAAATAGTGCTTTTTTCAAATTAAGAAATATATTTTAAGAGCTTATATATATATTTTAACACTTTAAATTTATTTCAAAAACATAATAATATTTACAAAATTAATAGGTCCATCCAAATATAATTACGTCATATCCAATTTATTTAAGTAATTTAATTAAATATAATTGTTTAAAAATATCTTCATTTAGAAAATCATTTAACAGAAATTTCAACATTATTACGAAAGGAAAAAAAACTATTGAGTATTTGAGTATATTTATTGTTGGAATTTAATTCACTAATAAAGTTATTTTTACTTAAAATATGTTTCAAACTATTAGAAATGTATTTTTATAGAAAGTAAAATAACACCACAACCAAGAGTTAATAATTACTGCATTAATAATTGTAAGTTTATCACTATTATACCATTGGTGAACCTATAACTACAAACTATATTTAATAAACAAACTTGTAAATTATAACACAATATTTTCACATAATCTAAACAAAATTTCTTACCAATAATTATAGAGCATGAGCCTAAAGAAGAAAAAATCTTTTTCTTTTTCTGGCCAACAAAGCTGTACATTTGCAAAATATCATCCTCAAAAATTGTTCTTAACATTTGCCTTATAATTCCTGTTAATGTCTTCTTTGCTAAACGTTTGAGACCATTAACCTATGTGACACACAATACATAATAACGAATATAGATATTAGGCATATCAATATACATATTAATCTATAGTTAGGTATATAAAAATATAGTAAAAATTTATAATATATTATATACTCTAAAAAATTACTTACAATAATCCTTCTAAAATTTTTGTTTTGCAACTTAGTCTCAAATTCATCAAGTTGATCTTCATTTTCAATCGGTAGAAATGAATCATATTCAAATAATTCTTCAGAATTATTTTCATTATCTTTTGCTTGAAGCACAGTGTCAGTTAAAATTTTGTCCATCTGAAGTTGATTTTGAGCAATTGCCTCTACATCATATTTGATTTTTAACACAACTCTTAAAATTTTATCCATTATATCTGAAACAAACATAAAAATATATGCTCTTTTAATATAAGATTTATTACAGAGAAGTTAATATGCTTGAAGTATAGACCATTATTGATATTACCATTTGATTCAGAAGTTTGTGCTAAGCAGTTACTTTTTAATTTGAGTTTGTTTTGTGTATTACTAGACACCTTTTTAAAAGATGACCGTAAATTGATATCTGTAAACAAATTTAAAGAACATCAACTTCATTTTAAATAACACAAAATTATAAGTCAACATTATATTTTAATATTGGATGAATAGCTAAGTTTTATTACCAGCTAAGTCTAATAATTCATAATTCGGGTAATCACTTGTATCATCTAATACAGCTTCGGAAACTTTAAAAGGAGATGACGATGTGTGGATAATTTCAGTACTCGGGGCTCTTTTAGGCTCTACTATATAAGTATAATATATATATATATATTAGTATAAGAATAATTTGTGTGCCTATAAATATTACATTTAAAATTTCAGTTTTATTTTAAAAATTATTTCAATTACCAATTTTTGGACTAGACGATGTTTCAGATTCACTCAGAGATAAGTTAAACAAATCATGTTTTTTAGGTGTAATTGAGGAACCTGACAAACAAAAAATTATCAATAAAGATGTATATTTTAAACTTTATAGGAGTGAAGTAAATCAATTAAATAAATTATAAATTCATACTTATATACCTTTGATAGAAGTAACCGACAAGAGGGAATTATTTACATCAGACTCATGATTATATCTACTTGATGTATTAGTACTATGCTCTCGAGGTAATGCTATAATTAATGTAAGGATAAATACAATTAAATTAAATAATTTCACAGAGTAAAATTGAAATATATCTTTTTAAAAGTAAATTAGTGTTATATTTGAATTTTCTAAAATACCTGCAATAGGACTGAATGAGTTTCTATCAAAAAGCTTTCTTTTTGTTTTTAAAGGTAAACTGTAGCTTGCATTTTGATAGTAGAAAAACTGTTCTATTTTCTTTCAATTTCACATCGTGGGCATGAATTATTTTATTTATTTTATTTTATTTTATTTTATTATTAGTTATACGGGCTTAGCCCTTTTTGACATTACAATGTATATTTTATATCGTGATATAAATTTTTACAATAAGAAAAGACTAAATTAAATATATACATTATACAGCTTACATTAATATGAAATACAATTATCTGATGACAATAAAAACTTAAACATTAAAACCAAAACTTTAACTTAAATATATATAGTTATTAAAACTTTAGCAATTCGTCGAAGGAAGGCTCTGCATTGGCAGACGACATTAGGCGTCTTAACGGCGCATTAGCCATATAGTTGGTGGTGACGTGCGGGACATAGAAGAGGGCCTTTGAGCGGGGTGGATGGGATGGAACTTTAATGGCGATTTGCGAGAGAAGGACTGGAGAATCTATATTATTGTTTAAAAGACCCGCTAGGAATTTAATACCTGCGACACGGTGACGTTTGGCTAAGGAAGCCATACCTAGTTGAATAGCAACCGGTGTATAGTTATGAGGTGTACAAGGAATCTTAAGGATATGTCTAGCATACCGTAGGAACCGGCGCTGAACACGTTCAATTTGCCTTGCATTATCTGCAGTATGAGGGTCCCATATTACGGTTCCATATTCTAAAATGGGGCGCACAAGCGCACAGAAAAGTGTTTTTAATGACGATTCAAGCCAAAAATCCTTTATTAATCGGATGACAAGACCAAGGGTTTTCAAAGCTTTACAACACACGTACTCGATGTGGGCAGTTGGGTCAAGATTGCAGCTTAGCTTGAAACCAAGATCCATGACATAGTCCATACTACGAGTAATAGCTACATTACTGATGAAGTATGGGGACATTATAGGAGAACGGTTAGGTTAGGTTAATTTTGCATTTATCGAGATTAAGTGTTGAACCAATTTGAGAATCGATCTAGATCGGATTGAAGTTTTGTACAATCATCTGGCGTGGTAATACGCAGATAAAATTTGATGTCATCAGCAAAACACAGAAATTGACAGTGATGTAGCACACGATGGAGGTTGTTTATAAATATTGAATACAATATTGGCGATAGATGACTCCCTTGAGGGACACCCGATGAAGCCAAGAACAAATTAGACTTAATAACAAAGATTTTAACCCATTTATACCTATTACTAACAAAGGATCTTAGCCAAGACAGAAGGGGTTCGCCAAAACCTGATTCTTTGAGAATATGAATAAGTACATTATGGTTGACTGAATCGAAAGCTTTTTGAAAATCAATGTAGATTACATCTACTTGAGTTCGGTGCTGGAAAGAGTCTAAGACGTAGTTATTGAAAACAAGATTGCATGTGGTAGTAGATGGTCTTGGGCGAAAGCCATGCTGTTCTTCGGCTAGAATAGAATTAACGGTTGGTTGAATGGTGTTTAAGACTATGTGTTCAAACATTTTTGAAATATGTGATTGGATAGAAATAGGTCGATAATTGGAAACATCGGAGGGGCTACCAGATTTAGGAAAAGGGGTTACAGAACTGAATTTGAACATGGAAGGAAAAACGCCTTCATCAAGCTACCTTCTAAACAGGAGCCATAGCGGATAAGCAATAATAGTTCTTAATTCATATAAAAAGTGACCTGATAGGCCATCTGGGCCAATTGACCACACATTTTCCAACGAGGATAGACCATGCAATACATCTTCTACGGAAAACGTATCATTATTGGGCAGATCAAATGTAGAAATATCTATTTTTTGGCATCAAAATCTACTTGTTTAGTAGAGTAGACTGTGGAGAAGTAATGGGAAAAGAGACTGGCGGTCTCTTGTTCATTACTAGAAGTAAATTTGTTGTATGATACTTCTTTGGGAATACAAATATTAGCACGGTTGTTCCTAACAAATTTCCAGAAATCATTGGGCTTAGTTCTAAGGGTTGTTTCTGTACGGAGTATAAAGTTGCGATAACATCTTTTTGTTTCATATTTAAGTTTAGCTCGGAGGAGAGAGAATTCTCTATAATCATTAATGTTTAAAGAAGACTTATAGTTAATGACCTTTTTTTTTAAAAAAAAAAATATATTTTTAAGATATTTGGTAAACCAGGGTGGGTATGTTGATTCATTAAAAGAGACTTGGGGGATGTGATCAAGGATTGATTTATGCAATGCGTCGTAGAAAACATTAACTGCTGAGTCAAGGTCGTATTGAGAAAAGGTTGAAGACCCGTTAAATGTAGACAAAAAGGAACGGATATTCCCATAATCGCCTTTGCGGAAATTGTAGAACCTGTGGCTCTGTTTACAGCTAGGTACCGGCAGACTAAATGGAAGTAAAATACTAAGAGCTGAGTGGTATTTATCTATAGGAACTAGCGGGTCAAGCGACTTTTCAACGGTTAAAGCTTTATCATTGCAAAAAACTAGGTCTAGAATCGAATTGGCTGAGTTGTAAATATTATTTTTTTGGAAGAATCCGTTTGTTGTAAATGATTCAGGAATACAAGGGGCGCGAGCAGGAGAAGAATAGGAGTATACTATACCATAATCATCATTATCCCACTTTGTTTCAGGAATATTATAATCCCCACAAATAATAAATCTATCATTGGGATAAGTCAAGGGCATCTCTGGCCCTGTTTTTAGGGTGGGGGGCGACTTTTACTCAATTTAAAAAATAAAAAAACAATAATATAGGCATTATCAATTTATTTAATTCTAATTTATTAATGAACATAGTAATTATTAGTAACTAATTGCTGGTCAAGTTTTATAGGCAAAAGAAGATACAAATATGTAACCTTTAGTTTATAATCATCATAATAATAAAAATCTAATTATAATATTTTAATTAAGCACCAAGCAATTATTTATTTTTATTCTATAAAACAAATTCTTTAAAGCGTTTGTGTTCTGCAAACCGATCTATTATTTTCCATGCATCTAGTTCTATATCGCGATGTACATGCAACAATGCCAAACCAGTCAATCCATCCTGTCCAATTTGACTTCTTAACCAAGTTTTTAATCTAATAAGCATTAAATCATAAAGCAATAAAGCATAAATAAGAAAAAATAATTAAGACTTACATAACATTTAAATTAATCTATAATTATTTTTTATCAAAGTTTATGTAAGTACCTGCGTAACGTCGAAAAACTCCTCTCTGCGGAAGCAACACTTACAGGCAAAGTAGCTAATATTATCAGTATTTTTCTGATCCCGGGAAATAGTATTTTATTACTTTGCGTAATTGATTCTAAAACGTTTTCAGGAATTTTTTTACCTATAATTTTATAAATTACTATTAGTATAAATATTTATACTATTAATATATTAACATAAAGACAAATATAAATCAAATACTTACATTCATTTTTACTTTCAATCCATTTGGTTTTCCATAGTTCTATTTCTCCTTGAAATTCTAAAATATTAATATCCAAGTATGCATAGTGATTTGTTACAGTCTGAAGAAGTTCGTGTTTTTTGTCATTTGATATGTTTAAAACATTGGATGGTATAAGCAGCATCAATATAAATGTTATTTTAGTTTTTGCATTAAGAAAACATGACTGCAAGTCTTCTGAAATGTTTTCAAGTAATGGAATATATATTACTCGACTATAATATTCTTCTAGTGATTGAGCAGGAGTATTAGATCTTTGTGTTTGGCGTTTGGCAATTCTTGTTAATTTTAAATCAATGTCCAATTTATTCATAAGATTCTTACTTTGTTCAAATAATTGTGAAAAGTCTGATTCACAATTAGATCGTTTTTCAGAGAGGTTAAGTATAATGCCATCTATTATATCAGATGCTTCTGTAATGTTTCTATTGTAACTTTGCAAAAGTCTACTGGCTGGTAGTGTAACACTTAAAACGTCTGTCAATGCAAATAAGGTAATAATAAAATCACAACAAGTTACAGCCATTAAAAGTGTTTTAGCTTTTGACGAAGAAATATGGTCAGTCCATTCAGATATGTCAGTTAAACTTTCTATAATTTCTGACAAACAAGATTGAAATTTAAAAATGTTAGTATTACGTTCAACCCACCTTGTTTCGCATAAACTAGTTATGGAACGTTTGCATCCTTTAAGATTGTTCTTCAAAATAAAATTTCGCTTTGATGATAATTTAAAAAATGATATTATTTTTTTTATAATACCCATTGTATTTCTTACAAGCTGTACGTCTGATGACTTTGAAATTGATTAATTTAATGCTTGGTTAGAACAGGGACTGTGTACAGCATTTATACAATGTTTTTGGACCTGTTGAACAGCACCACGAAGTTGAGAGATCATGACCGACATCCGTCTGTTCCAATACCAACACAGTTTTCAAGATCCAGTGACATGCTTTTTAAAATAAATATTACAATATCTCCTAATTTTTCTCCAGTCAATTTGGGTTCGCTTACTTGAAGTTCTTCGTCAACATTTGCATTATCATAAGATTTATCATGACAATTCAAAAATCCGACAAATCGTTCAAAAATTTGATTTTTTTCATCAATATATCTTAAAATTAAGCTCATTTGAGAAATATGCGCTATGTCCGTGGTCTCATCAAATATAATACTATAATATTGACTTTTTTTTACGTCTTTTAAAATAATCGTTAGTATTTCTTCTTTGCAACATTTAATCAATTGATCTTGTGTGGTATGTGAGATATATGTTGCTTTTGATTGGGTTGTAAGCAAGTGATTTTTTAAGCAATCATCTCCAGATCCAATACGGAATCTCAAAAGTTCACGAAAGTTGCCTTCGTTAACTACAGAAAATTATATTTTAATTTCATTTAAATTATGTTTATCAGTTAAATTTCCTTGGTCACGGTGTCCTCTAAACGCAATATTTTGGCGGCCCAAAAATATTATAGATTCAACAATTGGCTTTAACCGATTTCGGTTTTCAGTTACTTGTCTATAATGTTCGGTACCTAATAAATTATCTACTCGTTTGTCGGGACAGTGATGTGTTCGTACAAAATCTTCAGAACGTAAGATAGCATTTTTGTGATAATCATTGTTACTATGCGTTTCCAAATCACCATGTTTGCCAAGTAATTTAGCATACTTCTTTAAAGGAACTGTAACTAATTTTTTTAATTGTTCCGTATTTTGTTTTCCACCAGTATTTTGAACTAAGAACAATGTACAGTATAAACAAAAACAACCAGATAATGACTCCGAATAAACAAGCCATGGAAATTGTTCAAAATGGTTATACCTCAAAAACCGTTTTTCTTCCTTTCCCTGTTTTTTATGAACTGAAAACGGATATTTAAAGCTAGGGGGTGGTTTCCACTTATTTTCCAAAAGTTTTATTTTAACAGTATCTTCAATAATGCGTGATGAATTAATATAATGACCGATATCATTACTAATAACTAATGAAGAAATATATTTTTCTACCTCAATATTACTATTATTATTAGTAGTTACTTTATTTGTTGTTGACGCAGGTATTACCTCGGATATTACACTTGCATCATCGGCATGCGCAGTTACCACTGTATAATTGGAACTATTGTTCTTTTTTTTATTACAAAACTCTAAAAGCGTAGAATGTTTTCGTTTATTCATTTTAAAAACGTTCCTATATTATTGGCATTCACAAAAAACTTATTAGTCTATACAAATAAATAAATACAATAACTAAATTGTAATATACACAACCGTCAACAGCGTCAACCAGATGATAAACGAAAAATATAAACTGTATGATAAATTGATAACCACTAATCACAATTACAATCACGATATTTCTAACCGTCATAGACCAGCTTAATATGCTAACCATAGACTTCTCACTGTCTAGTGCGATAAACAGTGTTGCAGTGTTACCATATTTTAAAATTTAAAATTATTTAACTATATTCGGTGTACACTTCGTGTATCATAAGTCGTTATATAATTACGAAAATATTAAAATTATAAAAAAAACAGAGGCTCATGGGGGGGGGGGGCGATCGCCCCATCGCCTCCCCAAAAATACGTCCTTGGGATAAGTATTAATCAGATATTCAATGGAAGAGATGTGGGATTCATAAATTAAGGGAGGAGAGAGAAATGGATTATAGACACCACCAACGATGAAATTATAAAAACCACTAGTAAAACGGACAAAAACATGTTCAACATTTAAATGAGTAACTTTAACATTGCATGCAGGGTAATCTTTGCAAATGCCAATGAGAACACCACCACCACGATAACAATTGCTATTAGAATTACATCTGTCATATCTAAAAATATTATAATTAATAAGACCAAGCTCAGAATTAGAGATATTGTTGTGTAACCAAGTTTCGGTCATTACAATGAATATAAAATTTACAGATGATACATTACATTTTAAAGGTTTTTGTTAAAATCGATATATAATAAGTGATTTTACAATATATTGCCCTGTTTATTATATAATCTCAGTCATTAATTAATAATCAAATAGTTGCTTTAAAGTTTAAAATAATTTTTTAAAAAGAACTTGGTACATAAACAAAGGTTAGGACTGCTTTAAATTAATATCCACAATATTTTTTTAAACATGAATAGGTACCCAACTATTAATATTTGTAAGTGTGTAACTATACATTTTAATAAAATAATCCATTAAATAATTTAAGTTTTATTCAAATCAAATAATTTACTATTACAAGTTATGGTTATCAAATAATCAGATCTATATATGACCGATTATAAATCTTTAAAAACAGTTTGCCAAAAAATTAAATGAATACTAATTATGTAGCTGGGTATGGAGAATAATTTTAATGCTAAAACAAAACTTTATCAAAGAGGCTATATTATTCTACAAGTAATTCGACATATGAATCAATTTTTATTTTTCAATAAACTTTTTAATTCAAATTTTGAGTTTTCAAAATAGATCGATGTAAGTACGAAAGATTAAAAATCTTCGAAAACGATTTTTCAAAAAATCACATGAATACAACTTATGTAGATCGATATGAGGATCATTTTTATGTCTTACAACTTTCGTCTTATCAAAAAGCGTTTTCCTGAAATCTCGTTCGTAAACGAGAATTTTCATTTTTCGAAATTTTCAACTTCCATCGCGTTTACTCGGTCTCCAGCTTGTCCATCGAAAATTTCTTACAGTGGTTATAATATTCTACAAGTAATTCTAAATCAGAATCAATTTTTCATTCTTCAATAAACTTTTTATTCAAATTTTGAATTTTCAAAATCGTTCAATCTATATACAACCGTTTAAAAATCTTTAAAAACGGTTTTTGAAACAATCAAATGAATACAAAATTTGTAGCTGGGTATGGAGAATAATTTAATTTCTAACAACTCTCGGCCTATCTCTAAGGGTTTTCCTGAAAACCCGTTTATAAATGAAAGTTTTCCTATTTCGAAATTTACAGTTTTCATTGGCATTTGCTCGGTCTCCAGTTTATCCAACGAAAATTTATCACAGAGGTTATATTTTTCTTCAAGTAATTCTAAATCAGAAGCATCTTTTCATTTTTCAATAAACTTTTTATTAAAAATTGATCGATGTAAGTACGAAAGATTAAAAATCTTTAAAAACGATTTTTCAAAAAATCACATGAATACAAATTATGTAGCTGGGTATAGAGAATAATTTAATTTCTAACAACTTTTGGCCTATCTCAAAGGGTTTTCCTGAAAAACCGTTTGTATATGAGAATTTTCATTTTTCGATATTTACAGTTTTCATTGGCGTTTTCTCGGTCTCCAGCGTGAACAAAGAAAATTTATCACAGAGGTTATAATATTCTACAAGTAATTCTACATTAGAATCAATTTTTTCATTTTCCAATAAACTTTTTACTCAAAATGTTGGATTTTCTATATCCTACGATATAAGTACGACCAATTAAAAATCTTTGAAAACGGTTTTTGAAACAATCAAATTAATACAAATTTTGTAGCTGGGTATGGAGAATAATTTAATTTCTAACAACTCTCGGCCTATCTCTAAGGGTTGTCCTGAAAAACCGTTTAAAAATGAGAATTTTCATTTTTCGAAATTTACAGTTTTCATTGGCGTTTTCTCGGTCTCCAGGTTGGCCAACAAAACTTTATCACAGAGGCTATAATATCCTACAAGTAATTCGACATATGAATCAATTTTTCATTTTTCAATAAACTTTTTATGTCAAATTTTGAGTTTTCAAAATTGATCGGTGTAAGTACGAAAGATTAGAAATCTTTAAAAACGATTTTTCAAAAAATCAATTGAATACAACTTATGTAGATCGATATGGGGATCAATTTTATGTCTTACAACTTTCGTCTTTTACCAAAGCGTTTTCCTGAGAACCCGTTCGTAAACGAGAATTTTCATTTTTCGAAACTTTCAATTTTCATCGCGTTTTCTCGGTCCCCAGCTTGTAAAACGAAAATTTATCACAGATAGCAAATGTAAATTATAGTAATCTTATATTAATATTTGAAAAAAATTATCGATATTACAATAAAGTTTATTTTTTTTTCATAAATCTTTTTTAATGTTGTGATAACATTGTGGACAAATTTGTTGGCCACATTATTCATGTTACTAAAATATTATTCCATAACATTTTATAAATGTTATAACAACATTAAGTTAATATTTTACAACAACTACAATAAATGTGTTGATAAACATTATTTGAATGTTTCCATAATGTTAAATTAAAATGATATTACCATTCTGTATTTTTATACCTATATTAATAAATTTAGTTTTAGGTAAAATTATTCACTTTCCACGGGGTGCCGCTGCTGGGTGACTTCCTCCTCCCGTCAATCAAATCTCATCTAATTTACTTGTAAAGTTGTAAATAACATGTAAATATTTTAAATTTTGTTTCAAAAAAAGGTAAAATTATATAATCATGCACTACATAAGTATATAATAGGTAATGCAGTATTATAAATTATAAAAAAAAAACAAGTTATTTTCTATGAATATAACAAAACACCTGCATTATATTATTATATGAATAAAAATATTTAAACAAATTATTATTATATAAATTGGTCAAACCATTAACTATTTAATAACAAAGACAAAATAAATTTTATTATATTATAGTAATACTATACATTAATAATAACTAATAATAGTATGAATAAAAAGTTATTTATATTACATTTAAAAAAAAAGTAAATATAATATCTATTATTCAAAATCTGTATCTTCAGGTGATACTTTTTTTGATTTTTTGAGCAATCTGAATTTAGCATGTGACAACCAAGTAGCAATGCATTCGTCAATTTCTTTTTCAGGAGTTTGTTTGAACTTAGTATTGCTTCTTATAATATCTGAAATGTTAAACATGTATCATAATCATAAATTTTAAATGTTTAATTGATATTTTAGTATATATGTAATTCATTATTACTCAGATTCCTTTTTTTTTTAATTCTAGTAAAGAGTATATTTGCAATAAATCATCTTGAAACATTCTCCCTAAAATTTGTCTTATGCTGTTTCCTAGTGATCCACTTATCAACGAAGACAATTTAGAGACCTGAAATTATGTTGTAATATTTCATTTTGATTATTAGAATTAAAAAGCAATTAGTGCCAGTTACAATTCAGAATCAACTTTTTATGTGTAAATATCTGGGATTTAGGGATGAACAAGGTAGATTAATTTCTACTGAAAATAGTAGTAATGTTCATTTACTTTACTGTATTGCACTATGTATAAGACACAACAGAACTATTAAAAACTAGAGCTGACTTTCTTTCTAGTGATATTTTTTTATCGGACTTCTATAAGTTATCAGCCTAAGCACACATGTACACACCACACATACACAAGGACACATCTAGTGTTGTATAGGCCTCATTCCCAAATCTATATGCATAATATGTATATATATGTATATGTATATTATATTTAATAATAAGATGATGAACTTAAATAATTAAAAAAAAAAAATATTAGAAGTATAAGTTAGCACAATAAATGTATTGTGTTCAAACATTTTGTATTGATGTCTGTATTGTTATTCTATTTTAGAGAAAACTCAAGCGATAGATTCCAAACCATCAATTCTATACTTCAAACTTTTTAATGTTGTAACAAGATAACTTTTTAGTTCTACAAAAATAAAAAAAAAGACATTAGTTTTTAATTAGAGAAATTTAATTACTTGTAATAATATATTCAATTAAGTACCTATTAGAAACCTAATAAAATCAAATTTAAATTTAACAGTGTGAAACAAATATCAATATTGCAATTAATCAATTACTTATGTTATAATTCATTGAAATAAATAAAATAATAAATGGTCAATATTTGAAAATAATATATTCAAATCTTTAAAACCTCCCAAAAAGTATTTATGATCTATTTTAAATAGAAGCATATGGTATTGACTAAAAATAATAGTATGTACTTTCAAATAAAAATTTGAAAATATGTAAAACTAAAATAAAAATATTATATATACATAAAAGGTACCTTGTAAATCTTTTTAAATTAAAGTTCCATTGTCTTCAGTATTTTTGTAATTAATATAAAATAATATGAAGTCTTGAGGACTCCTTCAATCAACGAACAACAATACTTAATACAAAACATATTATA